GCTGAAGTCGGACGCTAACCGACTGAGCCACCCAGGCGCCCCTGGATCAGGTTTCTATTGCTCAAGCCTGTTGTCTAAAAGAGGTCTCTTCATTCATCACCCATTCTGCGATCAGTCACTCTATCCTTGGGTTTGTGGTGCTAACAAAAGTAAAATTCAACTCTCAGTAGTGTTGCTGGTGTTTCATATAACTTAATCATATTGGACTGGACTTGGTTGCCAGGACCACTTGTGTAAATACCTAGGCTCTGAGAAAGTGTGGGCTACTGTAGGTTCAACTGTCTCCCCCACTTCTCACCTTTATCTCTCAACTGTGCTGCCAGTATTGGTTTTTCTGAGCTTAGATTGGGTGTAGGAGGCCTGGGACAGGCTCCAGAGTCATCAGTACTCTGCCTGATTCTGTTAGCAGGAAGGTGTCCTTCCTTTGGAATAGAGAAACCAGACCCAAAGTGGAGATCCTTCCAAAAATGGGGATGATTTCTGGAATGGGGAATATTTTTTAAAACTTTGAAAATGTTTGCTTTGAAAGTCTCTGCTGTTCCCAAACCTAGAGGTGAGGGATTGCTAAGAATAGTTGTGAGTTTTCCCCTTAGTCTCCTGAATAGGAGACTATTCTGTCTGTCTGTTTAGACAGAGGATTTGACACTGTAGGTAACAGATAGGAGAGAGTGGAAGGAGGTGGGGAACTTTTAAATGTTTTCCTTTTTATGTTCCTTATCCTCAAGAACGTAGTTTTCATGTAGTTATAATTTTGGCCTAATTAGTTTTATATTCTGCTTTTAAGGTAGTATTCTATAAGCTTGTGGGGGTAATGGGGTTGCACATTTTATTTCCTTTAACTCCTTTTTAAAAATTTTTAAGTGTTTTTTAATTTATTTTTGAGAGAGAGAGAGAGACAGAGTGCGAGCAGGGGAGGGGCCGAGAGAGAGACACACACACACACAGAATCCAAAGCAGGCTCCCGGCTCTGGGCTGTCTGCACAGAGCCCAATGCGGGATTTGAACTCATGAAATGTGAGATCATGACCTGAGCCAAAGTCGGACGCTTAACCGACTGAGCCACTAGGCACCCTTCCTTTCACTTTTTTTTTAATGTTTGTTTATTTATTTTTGAGAGAGAGCACAAGCCGGGGAGGGACAGAGAGAGGGAGAGGGAGACCCAGAATCTGAAGCAGGCTCCAGGCTCCAAACTGTCAGCATAGAGCCTGACACAGAGCTCGAATCCATGACCTGTGAAATCATGACCTGAGCCAAAGTCAGATGGACACTCAACTGACTGAACCACCCACGGGCCTCTCCTTAACTTTTAAAGGTAATCTGTGCAGGGATGCCCCTGGCTGGCTCAGTCCTTAGAGCATGCAACTCTTGATCGTGGGGTCATGAGTTCAAGCCCCACATTGGATGTGGAGGTAAAATAAGTAAATAAATACATCTTAAAAAAATAAAAATAAAAAAATAAAGGTAATCAGTGTATATGTGATGAGATTTTTTAACCCTATAGAAAAGTTTAACATAAAGTATCTAGAGCCTGGGCGGCTCAGTCACTTAAGCATCTGCAACTCTTGATTTCAGCTTAGGTTGGGATTGAGCGCCTGTTGGGTTCTGTGCTGAGCATGGAGCCTGCTTAGGATTCTCTCTCTCTGTGTCTGAAAAATAAATAAACATTAGAAAATAATTTACAAAGAAATAATAATTAAAAAAAAGTGTAAGTCTTCCTCTTCTTTCCCTCTTATTCTGGCCCTGAATCCTGTTCTGCAAAGTTAATTCTAAACTAATTCTGTTTGGGG